TATTTGGCTCCCACGCTTCGGCCCCCCGACCTGCCCCCTGTGAAGGCCCCCAGGCCGAATCTGATCCACCGCATCATCCGCAGGCTGAAGAACTACTGGAACCCACCAGCTGAAGGTGAGCGAGTGTGACTGAACTTGTAGCACAACAGCCCAGGACACTGTTTGTCTAATTGTTGCTTTGGTGGTTGTGTGTTTGGTCAGAGCTTCCAAAAGTGGAAGAGCCAGAGAAGTGGGAGGAGCAGCAGCTGTCAACGCTAGAGCTCTTTGTTCAAACGCACAACAAAAACCCAGTGGAGAGGGTCAGTTAAAAAGCATTATATATGTAAAGCTGTGTTGCTATTCTTAGAAAAACAAAAAGAAAACATGTCACTGCCCCTTTTAAGTGCTCTGTGCCTCTCGGAAGTTTTTGCATTCTTCATTTTAATTTTCAGCGCATCAATGACTCCCTCAGGATCAGTGCAGAGCCTCACAACTTGACCGTGGGCGAGTTCATTACTGCAGGGTCAGTAGTGTTTTTTTCCTACATTTCTGAAAGTGTGTGATTGTGCAAAATGCATTCAATGATTTTAATCCTTCTTCATAATAGCAATAAAAAAGCAGCAGACCCGACTGTATTCACTGAAAATGCCACAGAACTGGAGGCCGGTGCTTGCTGGCTGCAGCTGCCAGAGGTCAGAAATCCTTTAAAATCAAACCTGCTTTAAGGTCGTGATTCTATAAGTCCGTCTACTTCCAGAAGCGAGTTTTTGCCCTGACATTTAACTTTGCCACGGTCCCCGCAGGGCGCCTCCGGCTTCTACAACATCGACAATGAGGAGTATGAGGCGATGCCTGTGGAGGTAAGGCTGTTGCCACGGAAACTCCGCTTCTTCATCAGTGCCGAGCGCAGAGAGCAGCTCCTCTCACAGATCCAGTGATGAGAAAACAGAAGACGAAAGAAGACGAGAACAGCGGGACAGAAGCCGAATTCGAGGCCATCAAACCCCGAGTTCACCCTCAAAATGGATTTTTGCTTCGCCAGCAGTTTTTTAAATGATCATGAAGTGCTGATGGAGGCTGTTTCACTCCATGTAAACATAAAATATTCAGTAGCAGTTACAAAAACAACTACCTTACAGGCTGTTTGCTGTATGTAAAAGGACCAAGGCTTCTTTTCTAAGCCAGTAACCCATGTACAGGCTGTCTTACAGGATGTTTACTGAAAAGTTCACTATTAACATGGTCAATAAAAATAATGTCTGCCCACCTCGGTGCAGTTTTTCTCCCTTTGTGATATTTATGTGTTTGATATCAAGGTTATAAAGCCATTAAAGCTGCACTTCTGCTGGTCTTCTTGGTGGGGACGTTGTGCCGACCTGAGTGTTTTGCAGTAGCTTGGACCTGCAGTTTTGGCACGCTGCACGGAGATGCCGAGTCTGATCGGACAGATGGCGTAAGACAGCAAATCTGCAGGATTAAGCTTGTGGCTGCTTTGTGGGGCCCTTGGAGAATGCTGTGGGTTCATTTCGGTTTGGTTAAAAAATCTGAAAGTTTCAGGCGAAATATAAACGTAATTTCTACATTTTTGCTGCAGAATGATTGACTTTAAATACAGTTTGTTTGTTTTTACAAAGGAGGACTATTAAATTGAAATAGGAAAACGATGCGGTGTTAGAAGATTAGACAACACTTGAACCGTATCAGTGTTTTATTGTTTTACAATGGCAGTACAGTGAAACTGACAGTTGCTCATGCTATTGAGTTCTCGTGTACATTACTGACATCTCTTACAGTGTTTCGCATTAGTAGAGGTGAAGACTTACTTGTTATTGTGTGATTTACTCTTACAATCAAGGAAAAAAACAGTCACACTATTTGGATACGTTGCTGCGTGTGTGCAATACTTTTGCCGTCTTTGACATTCAGTAATGTGAGAAGGCTGTACAAACGAATCGTTTAGCTAATGCTGGTACGCATCTGTGAACAGTTCCACAAAGAAGGCATTTTATACAGTGGTTTGTGTTGTGCACATTCCCTTTTTCTTTTAAACATTAAACATACACCTGGAAAACAAACGCTGTCAGAGGAAAGATGATATATCAGCTGATAAGTCAACAGACTAGGTAGTCGATCCTGGAAAAGCTAAGGTCATTCTGAAGTTCTCATGACGGTGTACGTAATGTATTAGCAGTTAATGTTGATGTACACAGAGAAATCAGTCACCTTGCTCCTGTAAGTTGAAAAAAGTCACATTATGATAAGGCCCCATTCAAAAAACAGGGCTTAAAGGGGACCTACGACGCTCATTTCCAGCTCCATATGTTTTTGAATGGATGCTACTAGAGTTGCTTTGCATCACTCAGAGTTCAAAATAATCCTTATTTGTCTTAAATACTGGGCTGTGGTGCAGATCGTTGACGTTTTAGTTTCTCTTCCTTTCAGCCAACGTTCTTCTGATTGGCTGCCCCT